CACACACACACACACACACACACACACACACACACACACACACACACACACACACACACACACACACACACACACACAGTGTCTTGCATCTTCGCAGGGCCTTTGCACTGAGTTCCATTAATTTCTCATTTGTTTCTATAGCCTAACCTTTACCCTAAACCTAACCACCCACAGTACTGACCTAACCTAAACTCAATTTACACTTTAGCCCTAAACCTAAGCCCCAACCCAAAAAACAGCATTTGAACTTTGGGGCCCAGGCTTTAGACCCCATAAAGAGCAGTGGTCTTCGTTTTGAAAGAAAAAAAAGGAGCTTCATAAGATAGCATTATGCTCAAACACAGAAAAATCATAAAATCCTACATCATTCCTGCTCTCTGCACTGCAGGCAGAAATATTGTCATTATTAACCATTTAAAATCAAACTAAGAGCTTTAAAAATACAAACCATTTCCAGGACCTGTCGTCGCCACCAGGGGGCGGTGTTACCACGTCCACTTCCTGTGTGGATTTTAGATTTTATTCCACTCAAGGATTCTGACTCTGCAAATCTTAATCTGTAAAGTTGCTTTTATAGCTTTAACTCCTTCACTGATCAGTGTTCAACTAAATAAATACTTTATGGGACAGTTGCAACATTGTTTGGGGGTAGTTGCAACATATTATTAATACATTATGTTTCACTGTAAATACAATTTTTATTTTTTTATATTTATATTATTACTAAATTAATAAAAACTGTAAGTTATAATGATATTACAGGGTTATTTATTTATTCTTTTTGATCAAATGACGAATATAGATTTGCCTTGATGAGTAGATCTTATATAAAGATGTCAAAGACTTCATTGACATAAAATACATTTGACTTTTTGCGACAAGGAGAATAGAAGAGTTCGTGAGGCAATTAACTTTTGTTTTGCCTATTGTCACTGTACGCCTACATTATGCAAAATTTACACAGAATAAAAATGGGATTTTAAAACCATTGTTGAAAATGTAATCAATCAAATTAATTTTGTTGGTTGTTTGGGTTAAATGAAATGCTGTCGTTGTTTCAGGCTGAAGCTGAATACTCGGTGGAGGAAACTCTGAAGACGCTTCAGAACCAGGAAGGTTTTCAGGGATTCATTATCATCAATAAAGAAGGTAAAAACAAGGATTTATCTAAAATAAACAGTCATTTTTATATTAAAGCTTTCATTCTGCTCATGCGATTTAACTGTATACATTTTTGGGATTTACTAGGACTTTAAAACAGGGTTTCTGCAGAACCTTAAAAAGCATTAAAAGGCGTTGAATTCATCAATCCAAAAATTAGGCCTTAATTAGCCTTAAAATGTCTTAAATCAATCTTTCAGATGTCTTAAAAAACACATTGTAGCTAAATAGGATTATTGTAATTCATCTCAAATTTTAAAATAATTGGTAACATTTATTTAGTTTTTAAAAATAATTTACTGAATGCCTCTCATTCAGTAAATTATTTTTGTTAAAGTTAACAAAATTTTGTTTTGTTTAAGCAAACATTTGGGTAAAATTGTGGCTAAGTTTTTTTTGAGGGTTTTGTCCTGATGCATCTCATCTCATCTTAATCTTTTCTTTTTGAAATTTTTTTTGTATTTTCTGTGAATTTGGTCTTAAAATAAGTTTCAAGTGGCATTAAAGAGGTCTTAAAAAGTAACTTGTTTTAAGCTGTAGGAACCCTGTAAAATGATGTTGATACAGCCTCTAAATAAATACATAAACAAATGTTATACTATAGAGTTGTTTACCCTTTGAACCGTTCTGTTGTGAGATTATTTGTGTTTTGGACAGTTTGGTCGAGCATCAGCTGTCAGACTCACATCTTACAAGAAAAGTCACATAAAAATGACTTAAAAACTAAAAAACATTAACGTGTCTGAACTGTTTTTGTCCTCAGGAATCGTCATCAGGTCGAGCCTGGACATTGAGAGCGCGCGGCAGTACGCCTGTCATGTCCACCGGCTGGTGATGAAGACCCGGAGCACGATGCAAGTCATCGAACCGCAGAGCGACCTCACCATCCTGAAAGTCCTGTCCAAGAAGAACGAGATCCTGATCGCTCCAGGTAAGAGGGTTCAAAGCAGCGAAACAAATTTTAGCTTTGATCTATGGTGAGTTAAAGTTCAGGAGGTTTCAGGTCTCAGTGAGGAGCAATCCTCCATCATCATCATCAGTTTGTTTCTAAATGATGTGTCTGAGAAAGGAACAAGCTGTTTTAGTACTTCTGATGTGAGACGTCTCGTTTCTTTGATCTTAAATGACTTGTTGGTTTAAAATGAGCTCAGGTGTGTTGGAACCTGTGACGATTCGGAGCTTCACCTGCGAGTCTGACCCAACTCAGGATGTTTGTTCTGATCTGTTTTCTCCACAGATAAGGATTATAGGGTGCACCCTATAAAAAGCACGGGTAAACTGCACGTTTAGATTAGATTGGTTGGCTGAGACACGTCACCGTGTGGTCCAGTGTTGTGCCTGCTGGGTGCCAAGTGCAGGTGAGGTCGGCTGTCATGCACACTTGTGATCATCATTCAGGACCCTTCAGACTGAAGCGGCTGCTCGACACACTGCTTCATCAACTTTTACGTTCAGACAACCAAACCCTTGTTTGTTTCGTTGTTGTTTSTTGTTTGTTTGTTTAAAATAAAACCCTCCAGATGCCCAGATTGAAAACATTTCCATAATCAGAACAAGAAGCTTGWACCTGGGAGCTGACCTGCATGAGCTCCAGATTTATGTGTTATTTCATTAGGAACAACACTTTACTTTTTCTTTCAGCTGTTTTTGTTACTAATGAAAAAATAAAAACTACAAATGACCTCATGTTTGTTTTATTTGTTCAGCTTTTTAGGAGGATCTTTAAAATAAACTCTGTAAAATGGTTAAAACTGTAAAAACGACCTGATTTTTAAAAACAAAATAAATTAGTTCCAGTGTTTAAACATCAATAGATTTTATTCTAACTCTTACAGTGAAAGTTTGACATTTAAAACATGCATTTATATAAAGATTTCTTAAAAAGTAAACTTGGTCCAACGAGCTCAGATGATCATGAACTTATGCAAAATATGTTTTTCTCTGCAAAATTTTAATTGTTTGAGGAGAACAGTCTCTTCAAAAGATCCTGAATCATAAATAAATACTAGAATAGTTCCTGGAGAAACTATGAGAGGATTGCCAGCTGTGTAAAACTCGTCCTGTACCATTATTTTTTGCAAACAGCAGGGGTGCATGTCCTGAAGATGTATTTAGCATCTGTTTGAGGTTGAAGCAACTGCTTTAGAAAATTTTATCTTTAAAGGTCAAGAAATGACTGATTTATAAGACATTTTGTCTGTATTTTGGCAAAATTTGTGCTTTGGTACATGAAATATTTTGCTAACAGACATTATTTTTGTCATTTGTAAGACTTGAATACTCTAATAAAGTGGATAAGTTCTTGTAAAGATCTTTCACACTTTATATTCATTCAGAAAGGTGCTGATGTCCAACACTTTTATGGTAATCCAGGGTTGCTTGGACAGCCATTTTSTATCAGAGTTGGACATCGACTACGTCTACTTCCTGTGTTTTAGATTTTATTCCACTCAAGGATTCTGGGTCTGCAAATCTTAATCTGTAAAGTTGCTTTTATAGCTTTAACTCCTTGACTGATCAGTGTTCAACTAAATAAATACTATACCAATGCAGCTAAAACTGTTAAAATCCAGATTATATTTACAAGTTTACAAAAACTTTAATCTCAGCATATTTTTTCTCATGCTGTTTTTATATATCTGTGATTAATGTGCACTTTTAATGAGCTGATGCCCCATTTATGGATTTACGACAATGTGAGCAGCAGAATAATTTTGGACTAAAAATCAGGATGATTTATTCAAAATAAACATGTTGACAGGAGTTCTGCTGATGACAAAGAGAGCTGTTGTTTTCCCACAGATTTGGACCCTCGGGCTTGAGGAGAAGCTGTTTATGGACAACAAATAAAAGGATATTGTGGGTTTGGGTTTATGTTTGTCGGAATGAAAATCGATTAACTCATGGACGGTGGCTGTGCTCTGATGGGCCTGTCTCTTCATCGCTGAGCGGGATTCAGTCGAGGATATTAATCTGAACATCAGTCATGCATGGGGAACACCCCACGAGGAGAATCAGCTTGCTCATCCATGCGTCTCCTGAGGGAGGTGTGAAGCTTTAAAGAACGGATGGCGGGCAGGAGGGGGTATCATCTCAGGAGACGTGATGTGGGCTGACTGCTCCTCAGACAATAAAACTCCAAACTGAAGAGGTTGGCACAATTGGATGAACACGGCCTACTGAACCAGGGATCTGAGTCCAGACGGTGACCTAAAAAGAACAACATGTGTCCCTGTGTGGGAGGAGAGGAACACTATTATAATGTCATTCATCTCATGGTAATCTAATAGTGCAGACATTCTAATAAGCCCCACGAATAACGTCCCATAATGCAGTTTAATTCCAAACCAGTCCATTATTTATTCCTTCCCAAATGTCGTGTTTCATTTTCTCTGAGCGTTATCACAAACTGGCCTCGCTCTTCTTGTTTCAGCTGCTCAGACGGGGTTATCGTCCCCCAAAACACAAGTGGTGCTCCGAGAGGCGCCCTCGTGCTGACTGATGGGTCTGAGCGCTCCACTCCAGTCGAAGGTAACAATGCTGTCATGTCAACAGCCAAGCTTGCCGCCGCTAATCGAAGCTTTAACTAAAGCTTTAACTGTAGCCAATCATCACAAGTTCTAAAATTCAGCTTTACTGCTAACAGAGCTACACTCAAACAAATCTGTTTGCTGAGAAAAATATAAAAAATATGAATAGTTACTATCTTAGCTGTTTTAGATAACTGGTTGAACACCTTCAGTTTGGGTAAAAATAGAGCTGAATTCCCTCTGGGATGAGAAACCATGTTTGGGCCGAGCAAGGTCGAAACAAAAGGGAATACTGTCGCCTTAAAGAGGCAAAAGTCTTTGACCAGRCTAGGCTAATCAAATGAGGGCTGCAATCTGTGCACACTGAGCATAAATACACTCCATGAATGTACACTTAAAAACTGTGTGTGTTGGATTTACTTAACCAAGTTATGTCAAGTGGTTCCAGTCAACTGAGCAGGAAGTTGTTTTACATTTATAGCTGTGAGTAGCCGCCATGCTGAAACTGGGTGTAGTCGCAGTCACTCCCACTATACGGATGGGATTTACCACTGGAGGGGGCGTTCCAGTTTAAAATTACGAATGAGAGCAAGGAAATTTCCACTTCCCAGTGCTACTAAGCACCGTTTCACCAGCTGCTGTCTCCTCTTGAACCATGGACTTGAATAAGAACCCTAGACTGAGCCCCGCCCATCCCGTCCACAGGTAGCCTCTGTGACAGCATGGAGGAGCAGAAACAGACCAAACAGGACGACAGCTCACAGCAAACATAGAAACAGATAAACAGCAAGCTTAACTGGAGCCATTTCACTAATTATCTGTCATGTTTTTACAATAAATTAATAAATATTTTAATTTAATTCAACAATCATGTAAAACAGCAGATACTAGACTTCAGCTAGTAATAAAGTATATTTATTATTTCTTTTTACTGTAATAAAATAATAATAATAATAACAATAATAATAAATATTTACCAATGTTCTCTGGTTATAGGATGAAACTTGTCTCTATTAGCTAACCATCTTCTCAACAAGTCAGGTTCCTCTAACAGAAACCTAAAAATGCTCACATTTATATTATTTTACACTGTGTAGGTCGAAATAATCTTCTGTTAATAAATCCATAAAACAAACAGCTTTTCTGGCATTATTCAAAACATTAAATATATTATATAAACTGTAAATATTAATAATAATTGGGTTAATATTATTATTAATAGTTTTTATGATTTCTATACAGCGGGTAAAATAAGTATTGAACATTTTTCTCAGTAAATATATTACTAGAGGTGCTAATGACATGAAATTTTCACCAGATGTCGGTAACAACCCAAGTG